ATAGTAGCTGAAAGTTGTGGACAATTTATCCCCATGAGAGCTCATCTAGACACTTGACTGGTCTAAGATCTAGGGAATAATCTTATCTGACGTCTGGGAATGCAGAGTTGGTTGGCTGCTAATAATAGGAGCAGATTTGAAGTAATATAAAGTGCTGATAGAAATAGTGGGGAGAGTCCGTCATGTTTTTTTCTAAAAAATAAGAAAGTCTTAAGTCCTGTATATTCAGCCGTGCGTAGGAAGAATATTTGTTCCTTTAACCAAGGCTATGGTCTACCAGCTTCAAAGGATTCTGAGTGAGTTCATCTCATGACTGATTTACTTCCATAAATACCTCTTTTCTTCCAGCTCTGGATTTTACCTCCAATTTTTGTTCATGATGACTTTTTTTTAACTCTGGGAACATCCTTGCTTTGAGCAACATGGCCTGTCTATCCTGTCCTGGTCCAGATTGCTTTCTCTTTGTTCAATTTCAGATAGTTCTTATTCTTATTATTCCTTTCTCTGTCGATATCTACATGATAATTCAGTGCAATTGTTAGATTAAACTCTGAAGTTCACTTTTTTTTAACTATAAATTTGTATATTTCAGAATTGTTTTATAGTTTCTGGAGAGGTTTGTATTTTATAAGTAGCCAAATAAAATTTGCTCATCTGATCTGAAATTAAGTTATTAATTTCTGTTGTTGTTTGCAGGTTGTTGTGATGAACACATGAGGTAATATAAAGAAAACACCTTCAATTCATTTAAGTACTTTTCATATAATAACACCAAGCTTCATTGGCATTTTATAAAAAGACTTGTACATTGCTTAAATTGTTTTATTTGATCTGTGTATGTTTGTGTGTTTGTGAGGGAGAGGTTATATAGGAAAGCATAGGATTTTAAAATTAACGAAAAGTAATTTGCACATTATTTTATTTACTTATTTTACTTTTCAGAAGAAAATGTAATAATGGTGCTTTTTTCAAAATACATAAAAACAACAAAATGCCCTACATTAAATTTGTATGAAAAAAATCTATCTAAAATATGTGAAAAGCAAAAGTTAGAATCTGAAATGAGATTAAAAGTACACATGTTTGAAGTTTATGACTGGCCAGAAATGAGAAGTTCAGATATTCCAGACATTAATCAAATTAGAAATATATAAATTTTAGGTAGTGAACACAGTTTTAAAAATTGTTACATTCCTCTTCTAAATATTTCTGAAGACATATGTGCATCTCTCAGGCACTGATAGAATATTCTATTGAATATAGAAACAATCACAATGATAAAAAGTATTGGAATTATATTCTAGGAGGGGAAGGGAAAATTATTATTTTTGGAGGGGGATGAATAAAATAAGAACTTTTCTTATTTTTCAATATAAACCTGACTTATTCACATAGTAAAGATTAAGTCTATAGTACATTACATTAACTCGATCACTCATGTTTATCTTTCTACTAGATTTTATCTAAAGTTTTTCCATGTTATAAACTTACCTAACTGTTCCTTAAAAACTTGTGAAGTCTATGCATTTTTAAATTATCATCTTAAAGTAGCTAACATAAGATTGAACAAAGAGCACAGTCATGCAGCTTCTTATTCCTTCTTATTGAATGTATCCCTTACACAATTATAACAGTGTTTGCAGCAGCACATAGGACAAGGGATAGCATAGTAGGGATTCAAATACAGGCATTTTGTGACAACAGGTTTTGGTAGCAAATACTTTGACTTCAGAAACAAGCTGAATTATGAAAAAATTAAAGTTTTCCAAGAATATGCTTAAGCCGGAAATACTTATTTGTAAAGGCTTTCTTCATGTTCCTTAGAATAAATAAGAGAGATATTTTTAAATATCATTACTAAATATGTGATTTTTCCCTTAAATTAATTATTTTTATTACATGTATTACTCTAAGGCAAAATCTTTATAATGAAAATTAATTTGTTTTGAATAGAATTTAATTCATTTATAACATTGTAATCATTTCTGTAGTACATGCATGGTGGCATATCTGAATTATATAACTGAAATGTTATTTAGGAGTGCTTGAGTGAAACACATAGTTAAAATGATGAACTGTGAGTCAAAAGGTTGGGCATTTGAATCCATTCTGAGGTGTGTTGGAAGAAAGACCTGGTAATCTACTTCTAAATAAAAGGCAGTTATTGAAAAATTCTATGGAGCATATTTCTGCTCTGGCACACATGGGATCCTCATGGATAGAATACACTTGATGGCAACTGGTAACTGACAATATAATTTATACAAGTATAACTCAATGTGGCCACTTGAAATACTTCTTAAGTTTGTAATACATCCACAGATTTTTGCTCATGCTAATTCACTGTATGTTACTGACATGCTCATCTCCATGATCCTGTACCTTTCTCCTGTTGAAATCTGTAATGTTTTCTTCAAAATTCTTTCTATTCTCCATAGTCCTACTTAATAACTTACTTCATTAATACTTAGTTCAAAATATTTCACAATTTTCGTGGTGCTGCTGTCAGGTAAGCACTGGGTAGTGAACACAGAACAGGCAATTCAAACTCCCAAGTTGCTTTGAGAGTGAAAGATGTGGCTGTCTGCTCGCTTAAAGATTGGCTGTTTTGGGAACCCCATGAGATGCTATGAGTCAGAATTGATTCAGTGATAATGGGTGTATATGTGTATGTATGCTTTGGTATTCTTAACTTGCAAATATACACAATGCATTTCAAAGGATTACACATAAGTGACTATATATGCATATATATGTATGTGTAAGTTGTATATTTCAGCCAAGTTTTTGATGTTGCATATGATTTCCAAGTAACTCTGTTTCTTTTATTCCAAATGATCTAGATCAACTGATTCTTTCATCCTCACGCCACTTCCCCATATTCCACACTCAGTTTCTCATGCTTACTTAAAACGGTGAGTTCGGTTAAGGCCTTGCTATTTTCTAGGTGGAATGTAAGGGATGAACCCCTAGGTACCGAAGTGCTGCAGCTGAGAGAGTCTGCATACTGACTCAAAAACAACTATGTGCTTCATATTACTGAGTTCTGTCTTACTAAGACTTACCGAAGAAAAGCTTCTTAACCATAGCTTTTAGGATGATAATCCAGTAGGATTGTCACTCTTGGAGAGGCTTGGGTCCTGAAGACATACTTGTGTGTAGCAAGACACTGAAGCAAATGCAGCCCAGCGTTGCTATGTTTAATAGCCCTGGCGGGGGTGTGGTTTATGACTTGGACTGTTAACTATGAGATCAATAGTCCAGACCCACCAGTCCCTCTTCAGGCGGAAGATGAGCCATTTTGGTTTGGAAAGATTTACAGCCCTAGAAACCCCCAAGGCAGTTCACTCTACCCTAGGGGTTGCTATGGGTTCAAATCAACTCAGTGGTTGTAGGTTAGGGTTTTGGTTTTCCTGTTTGAAAGGGTGGGGAGTGTTATGCTAAAATTAGGATCATTTACTTACACTGAAAAATGTATAGAATTGGCTTGCCCATACCAGTAGTCTCATATGGGCAGTCCTAGCATGAACCCATCCCATCACAATTGTTCCTGGACTTTCAGTTATGCACAGTGTCTAGGCAATCTCACCGAACACGAGTTGTCTCCATCCCCAGGCTTTTGTCCTAACCGGCATCTAGTCAACCAAGTACATAGAGTATTATGAAATCTATCCAATTATTTTATCTTTTGCATTAAGTAATGTGAGTTAGGTTGAAATGTGTAATTGGATATGAGAGGTATGTTCTTAGATAAACAGCAGTTTAAAAGTGACATGCTTCTTTCTCATTCGTCTCTGAAAAACCAGCTCTGGCCAGAGTTAACAGAACAGCTGCAAGAGAGACAGGAAAGTGAGTGGGGCCCATGAGCCGTGGTGGGGATCCAATTCTACTTTTGATCGCCTCTATGGATGACTTCAGGATTGTGACCTTTGAACACAGCTCGAGCATTTGTTGATGGTTTATGCCCATGACTTAATAAGGGGATGACAAATGACACAACGGTTACAGAATTTATTCTCAAGGGCTTCTCAGAAATTCTCGAACTGAGGCTTGTGAGTACGGCCCTTATCCTTTTCATCTACCTCTTTGCCCTCTTGGGGAACGTTTCTGTCATCGCAGCTGTGACCAGGGACAGCCGCCTCCACACCCCCATGTACTTTTTCCTGAAGAACCTGTCCTTTTTGGACATGTGCTATACCTCTGTCACGATCCCCAAGGCGTTGATCGACTCCCTTACGGGCTCAGGAGTCATTTCCTTTGGGGAATGTGTGGCTCAGCTCTTCTTGTTTGTAATGCTCTGTGCATCGGAGTGCTTTTTGCTTACGTCCATGGCATATGACCGTTGTCTGGCCATCCACAGGCCCCTTCTCTATGGAATCATTATGAGTAGAAAGCTATGTGCAGAGCTTGTTATTGTAGCCTGGTTGAGTGGGGCACTCTATGCCATCTTCCACACAGTCAATACCTTTTCCCTCCAGTTCTGTGGGCCTAATGTCATTGATCACTTCTTTTGCGATAGCTCCCCTATCATGAGACTCTCCTGCAGTGATCCCCATACCAACGAGGAAGTTGGATTTGTAGTGGGTGGGTGCATTATTCTTGGTGCCTGTGCCCTGACTATAATTTCCTATGTTTGCATCATCTACACCATTGCTCAGATCAACTCTGCAGATGGCCGTTGGAAGGCTTTCTCCACTTGCTCCTCTCATCTGGCCACTGTAATTCTGTTTTATGTCACTGGGAGCTTTGCTTACCTGAGACCTGCTTCCCATTATTCTCCCACACAAGGACGGCTAGTGTCAGTGTTTTATTCTATCCTCACACCCAGCCTGAACCCTGTTGTCTACTGTCTGAGGAATACAGACATGCAGGTAGCCCTGAAAAAACTATTTGTTCCATCTAAATAGACATGTTTCCCTTATTAATTATATTGTTCTTGATGTTACCTTGCAATGTCTTTGCATTTTAATTTACTCTTTTGCCGCCATGAAGCCCAGATTTTTTTTGTTTCAAAAAACAATTTAAAGAAAAATTGAGTATATAACATGGAATTAGTTTTATTAACTATTGATGTTATGAGAAAAAAGGCTACCATATGCTGTCATTAACTTATTATTAACCTATATGTATTTTAAGATTTCACAACCCCCAAGGATATAATCTTTGAATTAACAGCAGAAATAACAAACATACTTATCAGGGAAGGGACATTAATTATATAACAATTTGTTTTAAACATGTCTATTAAAAAGCATGAAAATATATTTTGAATAATCGATATTTTTATTTAAAATTTTCTGTTTCATAATTTATGTCCAATGTCCAGATTGATTGCAGACTTAAAGTTCAAAAAGGGACCAATACTCAGAGGGCTATTTTAGTCAGCTTCCATTTTATTCTTTAACTTCAGAGGAGCCTTTTACCTCCTCTTGACCTACTATGTCTCTATAGGCAGTGGGAGGTTTGCTTGCCAAGGGCGACAGGTAGGGTTGTGTAGTGCTCACTGCTAATACATAGCCAGAATAAGTTTGCGGTTCTAATAAGTTATCAAGAGTGCTTGGGAATTATCTAAGACTGATGCCTCTGTCCTTTAAAGAATTAGTGTCCACACTTAGCACAGTTATTTGCATTGGTTAGCCACTGAACATGTGCATATGTAAGAACATGCCAAAATAATTGGATGGATTTCTGGGATTTAGTATGTGGCTATGGAAATGGGAGAAGCTTAGTCTTTTTTAAAGTCTTGGAATCAGACAAGTCTACCAGTATTTATATTGATAATTGTCCTCCTCATTAGTATAGTAGGTAAATAGTTTGTCATTAATTATATTTACTAAAACAATTGACTTCATGTACACATAAATGGTAAGACTTTTTAATTATAAAAATCAGGCCTGTGTCTGTTTTTTGACTTGTTTGTGATGAAGCATATAACCATACACAAATACACATAATGGCACAAAAAAATTGCATATAAGGATTGCTTAGATCTCTTAAAAATATCAGCATTCTGTAGTCCTACCATTAAGTTTAGCATCCCTGTGGCACAATGGTTAAGTACTTAGTTGCTAAACGAAAGGTCAGAGGTTCCCACCCACCAGTTTTTCCACGGAAGAAAAGACATGGCAATCTGCTCCTAAAAAGATAATGGTCCAAAACAACAACAAGAACAACAAAACCCTATGGGGAAATTCATCACTGTCTATAGGGTTCGCATGAGTCTGAATTGATTCCATAGCACACAACAACAGTGTTATTCTTGATAACGGTGGGGAGCATTGAAAATAGAGGGTCAGCAAAGAAGAGGAAGACCCTCATGAGATGGATTGACAGTGGATAGAACAATGGACTCAAGCCTAACAATTGTGAGGAGGATGAAGGCTGGGCAGTATTTTCACTGTCATCCACAGCCTTCTGCACACCAAATTCTAATTCCATTAGCTCCTCTGATATTAAGTTTTATTATTTAAAACCATATATCACACAAGCTGGTGTGCTTCTTCCATGTAGAATTAACAGACATCTAACTTAGATGGCTGCTTGTTTTAAGACGATCATTTAAGACTCCAGACACTATTTCGTCTGATAGACAAGCACCATCTGAATTCTTCATCACACTTTGCATACACCCACAACTTTAGTGATCTCATGAGGTCAAGTATGGAGTAGGGCCACATCATAAGAACAACTTTTCTTAGATTAGAACTACAATTAAGTAGGAGCTCAAAATCCATACATATACTTATGGATTCTATTGACTGGATCATTAATTTAGTCAGGGGTATACAAATAAAGAGATTTTATTCAGTTAACACCAATGACAGAAGACTTGATGAGCTGTGACATGACATGGAAAACATCCTTTATGAAGAAAGCAAAAGGTAATTAATGAGACAGGAAAGAAAGAAAGGATCAAAGTGAATGTCAGAAGAGAATCTTAAACTTTCTATTGATTGTAGAGTAGCTAAGGCAAATGGAAGAATGATGAAGTTAAAGAACTGACGAGAAAATTTCAAAGGGCAGCTCCATAAGACACAGTGAAATATTATAATGAAATGTGCAAAGACCTAGAATTAGAAAGCCCAAAGGAAGAGTATGCTCATCATATTTTAAACTGAAAGAACTAAGAAAAAAATGAAGCCTTGAATTGCAACACTGAAATATTCTATGGGGAAAATATTGAATTATGTAGGAAGCATCCACAGAAATTGGAAAGAATATGCAGAGTCACTGTACCAAAAATACCTAGTTGTCATCTCACCATTTCAGGAGGCAGCATATGAGCAAGAACCAATGATATTGTAGGGAAAAGTCCAAGTCACACTGAAAATATTAACTGAAAGCAAGGCTGCAGTAATTGAGGGAATACAGATTAAAAGTTTTCTACAAGCTGGTGAAGTACTGGAAGCACTCACTGTCCAACCCAGGAAATTTGGAAGAAAGGCACTTGGCCAACTGACTAAAAGAGATCCATATTTTCACCCATTTAAAGAAAGGTGACCCAAAAGAATGTTTAAATCATAGGAAAATATAATTGCTATCAAATGCAAGTAAAACTTTGCTGAAGATCATCCAACAGTATATTGATAGGGAGCTGCTAGTGGTTCAGGCAGAATTCAGAATAGGGTGTTATGTTAGACAGGGTTCTCTAGAGAAACAAAACTGGGACACTTAATGATTATGTATGTGTATATACACACACACACACACACACACACACACACACACACACACACACACATATATATATATACGTGTATATATATAAAACAAAATGAAAAGTTAATTAATCTATAAAGCAGTACAAATGGCTTAGTGCAACTCACTTCGGTGAGACAGCTAATACACTGGCAGTCCTTCAAGTCTTGAGGGTCACCGGGTAGTCCTCTGTAGAGTAATTCAGGCAATCTGGCCACAGGCAGCAAACAGCAAGGCAGATCACCAACAGCCAGCCATATGACAGGGCCCAACAGTCTCCAGCTCAAGCGATGTATACACCAGTAGCATGGCGAAGCAGGTCTTAAAGGAACCTCAAACTACAGGGACACAGTCCATGGGTTAGGTGTCCCACAGGTAGTGTAGCTTGCAAATTGAGGCAGAGAACCAAGCAAGGCAGCCGCACACTTGTCCGATCATCTAAGAGCAAGAGACAAGAGAGGCAAGGCTCACTGAGCCATTTATCTCTCTGCCTTTCAATTAATCCCACATGTGTTTATTGGCTATGTTGGCACAATAGACCTACCTATCAGAGGTGTGGAACAAGGGATTTCATTGCTGATGTCAGATGGATCTTGACTGAAACAGAGAATACCTGAAAGATGTTTACTTGTGTTTTATTGACTGTGCAAATGCATTGGACTCTGTAGATAATTACAAGTTATGAATATCTTTGAGAAGAATGGGGATTCAAGAACATTTGATTGTGCTCATGGGAAGCCTGTGGATGGATCAAGAGACAGTTGTGTGAACATAACAAGGGCATATTGCATGGTTCAAAATCAGAAAATATGTGCATCAGGTTTGTACATTGAGCAAATAAGTACAGAAGCAGAATTAAGTAAAGTAAAATAGAGCATCAGGATTGGAGTAAGGCTTATTAATAACCTGCAATATACAGATGGCACAACCTTGTTTGTTAAAAGTGAGGAGGACTTGCAGCACTTGATAATGAAGATCAAGGATTGCAGTCTTCAGCATGAATTACAGCGCAAGGTCAAGAAGACCAACATCCTCTTACGGACCAACAGTTAACAGCATCATAATACATGCATAAAAGGTTAGAGTTGTCAAGGATTTTGTCTTCCTTGGATCCACAATCAATGCACATGGAAGAATCAGTCAAGAGTTCAAACGACACATTTCATTGGGTATATCTGCTGCACAAATTCTGTTTAAATTGATGAAAAGCACGGATGTTACTTTGAGGAGTAAAGTGCACTAGACTTAAACCATGGTATTTCGATCACCATCCATGCATGTGAAAGTTGACATTAAATAAGGAGGGCTGATTAATAATGCGTTTGAGTTACGGTGCTAGTGAAGAATTTTTAAAGTACCATGGACTGCCAAAATAACAAACAAACAAATGCATCTTGGATGAAGGACAACCAAAATGCTTCTTACAGGCAAGAATGGTGAGACTTTGTCTTACATACTTTTGACATGCCAGGAGTTACTAGTTCCTGGAGATTCACACCATTCTTGGCAAAGTAGAGGGGCAGTGAAAAAGAGGAATAGAGTGCTCCAGCCAGCTGGGAGCTACCTGAGACACACAGGGAATAACTACGCAAGACGCAAAATTGAGTCATCGAGGGAAGGGAGAGGTTCCAAGGGAAAGAAGGCCTTCTGAGCTTCTCCACTGGCCAGGTTGTCTTTGAATGCCAATGGAGAAAGTTTACAAAGGTTCAAAGGCTGTGCTAGGGCACAATGACTTCAGGCTCAAAATAGTCTTGTGATGCATGATTAACATTCCTGCAGTAACAAACATTCTCGTATGACTACCAAATATTCTCATTGATTAACAAACATTCTTGTATGCAAGCACATTTTGACCTACAGGAGTCTTGTGTCTGGAGTAAGGAATCTTCTTATCACTCAACATTTGCATCAAGTTCCTGGGACATTCAAACCATTAGGCCCTTAAGGTTTACTCACAGTCTTGCACCCAAGCCATCCTCCCAAGGGGGACAGGACAGTGTTTCCCTACTGAGGAAGGCACTTGACAACATGGACTGACAAAATGGCCTCACATATCAGAAGAATTGTGAGGATGGATGGACGGACAGTGTTTTGTTCTGTTGTACACAGGGTCAATACGAGTCAGAATCAACTCAACAGCACCTAAGAATAGCGACAACAGAATTAGAATAATGTTTAGAAAAGGAAATTATACATTTAAATGACGGCA